CCAGCAGTCCCGGATTTTCCCACTTGCCCTTTTTTTTTTTTTTTGTGGTGTTTGTCACACATGACGGAGTGGGCGAGCAAAGGTTTCCTTCCACCGCACTCGCTCGCTCGCAAGGCGCTCGCTGCAAATGCCATCCTCGAACGCAGCTGCTTGCTGGAAGGGGGCTCCGAAAATAGGCTGGCGGGCTGCGGGGCTGGCGGGGCTCCTGGAAAGATGCCTTCCTCCTCTGGGAAAAAGGGGGAAAAAATAAAATCAGGATGCCTTTGCAGACAGCCGGTCCTAAAAATGAGTCAGGAATTTGCATGGCAGTGATAGAGCCTGGCACTGCCGGGGGCTGCGCATCCCTGTGGGCTGGCTGGGGACACGGCACGGCGTGTCTGCCCGTCTGTCCCCGTTGTCCGTCCGGCTGCACGCATACAAACCGGCGCTGAGTCGCTTTGTTGGGTGACGGTGGAGATTTTTCGGGGCTGTCGCTCGGATTAGGGAGGCACCGGCGCTGTCGCGGGGAGGAGGAGGAGGAGGAGGGTGAGGGGGGGGATAAAGGTCCTGGCACTCGCCGGGCTCGCAACAAAACAAAGCACCAGATGGTTTCAACTTCGGCATAATGCGCGGTGAAAAAGTGTTTGAACCGGGGCTGAAAAAGCAAATGCGGAAAGAGAGAGAGAGAAAGAAAAGAAAGAAAAAACCCTCAGCGAGTGTCAGAGCAGAAGAAAGCAGCGGAGAAAAATGGCAAGTGTTAAAAACCGAAACAAAAAGCCCTCCCCGGCACAAAGCTGGGGCTGTAACATCTGTCCAGCACAGCCTCTCGCCAAGGCCCCCTTCCCTTTAAAGTCACCTTTCCTTGCTTCCATCATTGTGGGGACACAGCCCTCTCCCTGGACAGGGCTTTGCTCAGCGCTTGGGGACCCGCTCAGCTCTGCCATGTCCCATGTCCCCAGCGCTGGCACCGCGGCGGCCGGCAGTGCAGTCGGGCAGCAGACCTGCTGCAGCGGGATAAATATTTTATTATGCTTTTTAGGTCACGTGTGGTGTCCCAGGTGTCCCCGTCGCAACCAGCGGAACTGCATGGCAATCCAACCCGTGTCTCCGCTGCAGGATCTCGTGGGGTTTCAAGCCTGGTTTCCTCGCGGAGCGAGGCTTGCACGACCCGCTGTGTGCCCGGGCATCTGGCTGCGAGGCTTTTGTGTTTCCCTTGGTCTTCCCACAGATATATTTTGAACCTGCAGACCAATTTCATGGTGGCCTTAAGAAAGAGAAGGCTTAAAAGTTATGATGTCCCTCCTGTTTTCACAAAAAGAAACAAAATAAGCCCATGCAATTGCGCGAGAACAGATTGCAGTGCGAGCTGAACCCCTTATTAGCCACCAGAGAACCCACAAGCCACAACCCTCGGCTGCCATGTCCCATGTCCCCAGCGCTGGCACCGCGGCGGCCGGCAGTGCAGTCGGGCAGCAGACCTGCTGCAGCGGGATAAATATTTTATTATGCTTTTTAGGTCACGTGTGGTGTCCCAGGTGTCCCCGTCGCAACCAGCGGAACTGCATGGCAATCCAACCCGTGTCTCCGCTGCAGGATCTCGTGGGGTTTCAAGCCTGGTTTCCTCGCGGAGCGAGGCTTGCACGACCCGCTGTGTGCCCGGGCATCTGGCTGCGAGGCTTTTGTGTTTCCCTTGGTCTTCCCACAGATATATTTTGAACCTGCAGACCAATTTCATGGTGGCCTTAAGAAAGAGAAGGCTTAAAAGTTATGATGTCCCTCCTGTTTTCACAAAAAGAAACAAAATAAGCCCATGCAATTGCGCGAGAACAGATTGCAGTGCGAGCTGAACCCCTTATTAGCCACCAGAGAACCCACAAGCCACAACCCTCGGGGACAGCCGGCTCCCTGCCGCTCAGCCCACGCCTGCTGGCGCTGAGCTCCAGCCTCTAATGAGAGGTGCCGAGGTTTAAGTGAGGGTTTGAGTTTTGCTGGTGCCTGTGGTCGGTGCGTCAGCGCTCAGGAGCCCCCCCGTGGGATGGCTCATGGGGCAGAGGGTTGTCCCCACTTGTGTCCCCCCAAAACAAGTGGGGGGCACAGATAGATGGGTGTGCTGTGCCACCATGGGTGCTGGGGTGGGTGTAGGGTTTGGGTGCCACAAGGCGCAGCAGGGGTGACACAAGGAGACCCAGGGGGATGCCGACCCCACAGGCCCCGGGATGGCAGGGAGTTGGGGTGCCGTGTCCCCAGGGTGGGGGAACAGTGGGGTGACATGGTGGCATGACCTTCAGGCACGGAGCAGCCCAGGTGACATGCCATTGTTTTTTTGGGACAACGAGGTGCTGCAGGGCCGTATCCCCAGGGTGCAGGACAGTGGGGAGCCGGGGTGATGCCACCCTGGGGTGCAGGACAGTGGAAACCAAGGTGATGCCACCTGGGGGACAGGACAGCAGGGAGCCAGGGCGATGCCACGCTGGGGTGCGGGATGATGGGAACTGAGATGATGCCACCTGGGGGCAGGACAGTGGGGGAGCTGCGGTGATGCCACCCTGGGGTGTAGGGCGGTGGGAACCAAGGTGATGCCACCCGGGGGACAGGACACTGGGGAGCCAGGGTGATGCCACCCTGGGATGCAGGACAGTGGGGAGCTGCGGTGATGCCACCCTGGGGTGCAGGATGGTGGGAACCAAGGTGATGCCACCCGGGGGACAGGACACTGGGGAGCCAGGGTGATGCCACCCTGGGATGCAGGACAGTGGGGAGCTGCGGTGATGCCACCCTGGGGTGCAGGATGGTGGGAACCGAGGTGATGCCACCCGGGGGGCACTGTGGTGCTACCAGGGGTGCGGGACAGCGCGGTGGACCCCA